GACCAGTTTGATGGAAGTATTTCAGATTGCATGTGAAAACCCCACACTGTACCCCAGAAGTGCATTAATGTACATAGTTACCATTCAATAAAAAAAATAAATAAATAAAATAAATGCACATTGGTTTGTTTTTTTGTTTTTGTTTTTGTTTTTTTTTGGTTTGGTACAGAGTCTCAGTCACCCAGGGTAGAGTGCTCTGGTGTCACAGCTCACAGCAACCTCAAACTCTTGGGCTCAAGCAATCCTCTTATCTCAGCCTCCCAAGTAGCTAGGACTACAGGTGTCTACCACAACCAACACCCAGTTAGTTTTTCTATTTTTAGTAGAGATGGGATTTCACTTTGCATAGACTGGTCTGGAACTCCTGAGCTCAAGGGATCCTCCTGCCCTGGCCTCCCAGAGTGCTAGAATTACATGTGTGAGCCACCCTGACTGGCCAAGAAGTGTCTTTTATTTTTATATTTTTATTTTTTTCCCCCTCACCCTCTCACCCCAGCTTTTCCCAGCTCCTAAAGAGAAGGCCGAGTGAATTTAACGTGATGGGAAACCAGAGCATTTGGTCCACTGGTGGGGACAGAGTAATGAGTGGTCTTTTTTTCTTTTTTAAATTATTAAATGATAGCGTACATTAATTAATTAATTTTTTAATTATTAAGTGATAGTGTACATTAATGCAGTCATGGGGTACAGTGTGGTGTTTTCGTCGTGAGTGGTCTTTCCTGTCTTCCTCTGCTGCCCTCCTGCCCCCAGCCGCATGTTCAGAAATGGGCTTCCATTCACACTGCCCTGCTTATCACTCCTGGACTCACTTGACCCTACTTGACATGTCTACTTCTGAAATGGAACTGAAATGCTGATTCACAAAGTTGATTCCTAGTGGTCATCATTTAGTCCTCCATCATTTAACTTAGTATTAGAGGTTTATTTTAAAACAATAACTATTTGGGGTTAAGTAACTTTGAGATTGAGCGTGAGAGAGATTATGAATGTGTAACTTTCAGGCATCTCAGTGGTTCTAATCATCTTGTGATTTTAAAGGTAGAAAATTGCCATCAGTATAGCTATCAATACCCTTTTAAGGCAGCTAGAGAAAAATACATTCATGCAAAATAAAGGCCTCAGTGGTAGAAACATGTCTAGTCACCACCTTGAAATGGTCTCAGGGATCCTTATTTTTAAAACTAGAGGTGTGGGCTGGGTGTTGTGGCTCACACCTTGTATTCCTAGCACTCTGGGAGGCTGAGATGGGTAGATTGCCTGAGCTCAGGAGTTCCAGACAAGCCTGAAGAAGAGTGAGACCCTGTCTCTAAAAAATAGCTGGGTGTTGTGGCACACACCTGTAGTCCCAGCTACTCTGCAGGCTGAGGCAAGAGGATGGCTTGGGCCCAAGAGTTTGAGGTTGCTATGAGCTATGATGCCAGGGTACTTAACCTGGGGTGACAAATTGAGACTCCGTCTCTAAAATAAAATAAAACTGAAGGTGTGGCAGGAAGGGGTGTGTGTAGTATAATGTGTTCTTTTTCCCTTTAATATTTTAATGTGTTCTTGGTCCGGTTCATTATAGTTAGGCATTTATTCAAATCTTCTGTATTATTGCAAAATATAATTGTCTTCTTTTAATTATATTTTCATGTAAATTTTGATATGGCTTAAGTATTTTTTTCCTCTCTATGGTCCTATAGAATGTTGAAATATTTTTCTTTCATGTGTTTTTTAAACTGTAAGTGTCATTGGCTATTTTTGGCCAGTTGGTGGAGGTAAAAAATGAACAAAATACAGTTTAGCAGGTATATAAGCAAGAGCTCAGCATTGCTGAGTACCTAATTTCAACTGATTTGCTTTACAACTCCATGCAGTAGATCTTTGAAGAGGGTAGGACATTTAAATTTAACCTTTTTTATGTCACTAACCAGAGTTGACTGCTGAAAGTGGAGGAGGTATTGTAAAGGGAGGCAGCAACTTCTGTTAGGACTTTCTGCATTGCATATTTATTTTCTCTATAATCAGGCTCAAAAGAAGTTGAGGGAATTCACTCTAAAGTTATAGTCCTGATTAAACGTCAAATTACAAATCCATGGAAAAAAGCTGCTGTCAGTAGCTTGGATGCTCCCTTTCCTGCAGTTCATATGTCTAGTGACTTTCAGTTTTTTTCTTAATCATTCCCTGGACAGAGTATGTAATACAGGAAGCATAAGTTCCTTTAGTTGGGGGAGATTGGATAAATTTAATAAAAGTAATTTGTAATTTATTGCATATTCTAGAAGTCCAAAGAACTATACTAGTTGTGTATAGCACTGTTAATAAAGCCACAGATTCCTATCTCCTGACCCAGTAAAAGTTCTTGTTATCATATTTTCACTTTACTGGTTTTTGGTATTTTCTTTCTTTTTTCTTTTTTTTAATTTTGAGACACAGTCTCACTCTATCACCCTGGG